TATAATAATAATTATGAGAAGTGACAATTCGGTAAAGTTATAGTTAGAAGAAATACATGTTAGAAAATATAGTAATTATAAAGAAGAATGATTAGGAGTAAAGAAAATTATGAGTAATGTTAATTCGTAAAAATTAAAATTATTTTCAAAAACATTTATAAGAAAAAAGTTTTATAACAAAAGATATTTCGATAAAACAAAATTTAGAGACTTTAGAATTTAGAACATTTACACATTTTAAAAAAATATTATTAGGAACAATAAATTTTTTAAGAATTGGTAATTCGGTAATATTTGAATTATATTGAATAATAATTCGGGAATATAATTATTATAGTTATTAACAAATTTAAAAAATAATATTTATCAAAATTGACATTTAGAAAATAAAAATATTAGTGTAAATAAGAAATATAAAAAATAATAATTTTTAGAAATGATAATTCAGTTATTTGAAGATTATAAAAAATTTTCTTTCGCAGTATTAAACATTCTGTTAATTACACGGAAAAAAAAGTACGTGAATTTTTCATTGACTCGGTACTTGACTTTTGGATACGACACAAAATACTAAAAACAGTCTAGTACTTTTGCATGAGAGTTTCAAAAGCAGTCAATGAAAATTTCTAGTACCTTGCTTGAGAATTTCATTGACTTTCAAAAAAACTGTAAAATAAAAAAAATAATTTCCACTTGTTCACACCGTTTTTCTGAAATTCACTCATTCATTCACATATTTGGATAATTAATCACACAAACAAAGAACAATTATTGTATCACTTTTCGACGTTCGTCAACACTTATGAACTAACCTATAACACACACATATATTCGCGTATAACTTAAATATAAACACACACTTAACACTTAAAAGTACGTATCGAATTGTTCTTATATACCACATGGTGAAATTTTTCACGACTTCTGAGACATACTATTTCACTGAAAACTGAGACTTACATAACATTCTGTTTTGTGAGAAACACAAAACAAAAAATATTTTTTTGAAAGTCAATTCTTGAAGACAAATATATATTAACACTATTTGTTTTTCATAAAATAATAGTATATTCACATCTGAAATTAACACAAACGGAAACAGACGATCAGCTGGCATTTACCTTGGGTAGAAACGCGCAACGCACACTGCGCATGCTCTACAGAATTTTCAAGCGCAGTCAACTAATCTTTCACGTACTTTATAAAACTGAACAAATGACTTTTCGTTAAAATTTAAAAAACACTGTTGCCCATACTAGTACTAAAATAACTCTAGGACTTTTCTATATTTTCTAATAAAAAGTATATGATACAGCCTTGTACTTTGTGTTCTATCCAAAAGTCAAGCACTTTCAAGGAAGGATTCACGTACTTTTTTTTCCGTGTAGTCATTCAAAAAGATAATGTTTTTGATAATTATTCTTTCGATTAAAAGAAATTATAATTAATTCTTATTAGATAAAAAGAATTTCGATAAAATAAAGATTCGGAAAATAAAAATTGGAGACTTTTCATGCGCCTCGCTAAAATGCATGATTTTTATGTCTTTCTCATCAATTATTTATTAATCCGTTATAAGTCAATATAAAAGATTATTATTAATGATTTATTATCAAAAATGATTCTACTTTACAATTTATTTTTTTTAACAGAGTAAACTTTTTTAATATATACATTTAATAACATTTGTTTCATGACCTGGTAAATTTGACTACTTTTTAACTATTTCTTGTAGTTCCAGGAGGCGCCCGTAACAAAATTTAGTAAAAAGAACTATGACAGAATAGTTAGTCTAACTGTAAAATATAACTACTAAAAAAGTTACTTTAACTATTTATTGTTTTAAGACATTTACAATCATAACGTGTAGTAATTTTAAATACATAAAACCAACTACACAATTTTAGTTCAACTAACTATGGCTAAATATCGTAGTTTATCATATTTTTCTGTGCAGTAAAGAATGGTCCTTTCAAGTGCACAAACAGTAAGAATAACTAATATCAACAATTGATTCTGCTATATGAAAACAGTAAATTTATTTCTTTCTCTGCAACTAGTAAGAAATACTTGTTTTAACTACACATAAAAATAACAAATTTCAGAGGTTGTATTTACTATATAAAAACAGTAAGTCTCATTTTGTTTGTAACTAAAACAAAATAGTTATCTTTACTACCAGAATAGTAAAATTAACTATTTTTAAAAGTAGTTTTTACTACTGCATTATTGTTCAGTCATTTACAACTATCTGTTAGTTATTTTAACTAAGTAAAATAGTCGCACAATAGGCATAGTGTCTACTACTCGATAGACAAAGCGTTTTAAGAACGCCTTTTTAATTGGGATTATGATATATTTCTGATGAGATCGCAATTACATCGGAAATTCAGATTGTAATTCTAATGTATTTCCGATGAAATCTACATTTAGTCAGAAATTCCGATTGAGATCCTAATAAATTTACGATAAGATCGGAAATATCAAGAGCACTTTTTTAGAAATCTGTCGACATGGGACTCAGCTTGATAAATTGAAAAGTTATAAAAAATGGAAGCTTTTGGTGATATGTGTAAGAAGTTAATAAATAATAACAATAGTTTGTGTAATTAATTGTTAAATCGATAATTTTTTGTTTAATGTATAGTTAATTCAATAAGTTTGACATAGTTCTAAATGCTAAATTATAGCGACCACACTTTTTTCCGGTATACCGAAATCTACCTTTCATATAATCCGTCCCAGTACCGATACAAATTCCGCTTCGAATCCACCTGCCAGATCTCAACGGCGTGACTTTTTTCGTTACCGCCAGTAGTGAAATGGTATAAAGATGGAATTAAAGCTATGTCCAAGTTGTGAAATGTAAACAAACCAAAAGGTTACTATACCAGCACTAAAATCGCAATTTTTCGACAGCCAATTCTCCCACAAAAAATTACATTTTTACACTTTCTTTACAAAAAGGGAAAATTAGAGTATCAAAGTTTCCAATAAAATTGTTTTTGACTATGAGCAATAAAAAGCAATTAGTAAAATAACTAATTAAAATGACCTGTAAAACAGCATTTTTGACGCGTCGCGAAAAATAAACTGTTTGAGTATATCAACTGCACTGACGATGAATAAGTTACATGTCAGCGATTGGACCTTCAACATGTGGAAGGGGAAATTTTTCCCTTTCCTCCTTGAAATTACAAGAGAAAGGGTAAAAACTTCTTCATCGTCCGTGCGGTTGATATAGTCAAACAGTTTAATTTTTCGCGACGTGAACTCTGTTGCTCGCTGCGCGTGCGCAGACCGTACCAAGGTCGCAATGACATCACCATGCAAACAGGCACATTTTGTTTTTGACTGAAACTCAGTGATTTTCTCATTTTTTTCAGCTATGCAAGGCGTAGTAACCAAATTCAATACGTCAGTTCACCATTTCCATAAAGAAAATGTGAATTTATATTTATTTACGCAAATGGGAACCGCGAAAAAATGCTTCATTATGGACCGAATAGTGAAGCATTTTTTCGCCGTTCCCATTTGCGTAAATCAATATAAATTTACATTTTCTTTATGGAAATGGCGAACTAAAGTATCGAATTTGGTTACTACACCTTGCATAGCTGAAAAAAATGAGAAAATAACTAAGTTTCAGTCGAAAACAAAATGTGCATTTTCGCATGGTGCTGTCAATGCATTCTTAGTTTTGGTTTTGAATGATACTCAGTGGTTTTCTCATTTTTTCAGTTATTCAAAGTTTAGTAACCAAATTCGATACTTTAGTTCACCTTTTCGGTAAAGAAAATGTGAATTTATATTTATTTACACAAATGGGAACGGCGAAAAAATGCTTCACTATTCGGTCTATAATGAAGCATTTTTTCGCTGCTCCCATTAGCGCAAATAAATATAAATTCACATTTTCTTTATGGAAATGGTGAACTAAAGTATTGAATTTGGTTACTACGCCTTGCATAGCTGAAAAAAATGAGAAAACCACTGAGTTTCAGTCAAAAACAAAATGTGCCTTTTTTCATGGCGATGTCATTGCGACCTTGGTACGGTCTGCGCACGTGCAGCTAGCAACAGAGTTCACGTCGCGAAAAATTAAACTGTTTGACTATATCAACTGCACGGACGATGAAGAAGTTTTTACCCTTTCTCTTGTAATTTCAAGGAGGAAAGGGAAAAATTTACCCTTCCACGTGTTAAAGGTCCAATCGCTGACATGGAACTTCTTCATCATCCGTGCGGTTGATATACTCAAACAGTTTATTTTTCGCGACGCGTCAAAAATGCTGGTTTACAGGTCATTTTAATTAGTTATTTTACTAATTGCTTTTTATTGCTCATAGCCAAACATGATATTTTTGGACATTTTGAAACTCTAATTTTCCATTTTTGTAGAGAAAGTGTAAAATTGTTATTTTTTGTGGGAGAATTGGCTGTCGAAAAATTGCGATTTTAGTGCTGGTATAGTAACCTTTTGGTTTGTTTACATTTCACAACTTGAACATAGCCTTAAGTCAGATCTCAACCAGTACTGAATTCCGACATCTGTACCGGCATGGATCCCCGCCAGTCGTCAATTTCCTTCTGGGGTCCTAAAAATGATATGTTGTAATTGGTTACTTCCGTAACCTCTTAATTTTCATTGGTTCAAATATTCTTAATTGTAACAATGTATGAAATATCCCTTAGATTCTAGAGAATTTTTTTTAAAACATAACCTTGGAGCTACGTGAGTTACCATAAAATAACATAACAATAATATTTAATACTTCAGTTAGTACTCAAAAGTGCCACAAGTTAAATTTCTCAAGTATCTTTTTTAAAAATGAAATTAAGAGAAAGATATCAATAAAATATTTTGTATACGTATAAAACATTTAAATATGCCAAATGTATTTCAAATATTTTACTTCCAAAATTTCATTAAAATATTTTGTATAAAATATGTTTCTAAAGGATCGTATTGAAAAAACACAATTTATTTATTGTTACAGATCCTTGCGGCACCGGAGGCGGTGACAGAACATCTGAGTATAGGTTCAGTTCCTGGTGGAATCCTTGTTTATTTTGGTCCTTAATCTCAAGCAGAAGAGAAACATATTACGATGAAGGAGCATTAAATAATAATTTCCTTTACTGTAATTCATATTGGTTTACTTCTATTTTAATTACAAACCATCAGTTTCTTCAAAACCGTAATCAGTCACAGCAGTGTCTTCAGCAGCCAAATCATACAAAAACTTTGTTGCAGAAAACTGATAATAATTACTGTTTTATAAACATCAAAGGTCTTAATGCTTCAACATCTTCATCAAACTCTTTCGACGTTTTTTCGAATACTTTTCCTACTATTTCATCTACAATTAACAAACAAGTACTACATACTTCACTTGCATCTTCTACTACGACAAAAGAGAAAAAAACAAGTTTTTATTCTGCTAAAAGTAGCTTCATTTCCTTTGAAAAGGAAATTTTCCTTTTTTTCTTTTCTTCCTCAAGTTCGACAGCATCTTCAATCATCGATGTTTCGACTAATAATCAATTTACTGACGATGATGCATTTAGTCTCTTGAAATGTACTTCGTCAACGAATGTAAGAATAAAATCAGAAAATTGTGATAGAATTTGTTCTAAAGATCAAATTATCGAAGAAGTACCTTCATCTTTATTTCTGTTTTTCTTGAATTCATTTTTCAGTTCCCTGTTTTCCCCTTTTCGCAAACCAAATAAGAGCACAGAAGAAGAGGATTCCATTCCTTTTAAAAGAAAAGGCATGTTCGAATGTAATTCTATACTAGAAAGAAAGCAATTTAATCAAAAAGAAGGTGTTGCCAAAGGAAGACACCCAGCATCTACTAAAAATAGTTTGCATGATCCGAAAGTAGAGTTCTCTTCACTTAGTGTAATATCTCCAACGATTAATCCTTTGAACGAAATGAAGTACGAAACCCAATCAGGACCACCAACTGTACCGCAGCATCTAACATCCTCTGGAATTGAACCACCACATAGTAGTCAAACTAGTGGAATTACTGTTGGAGGTTCACCAACAGAAATAGTAGGTGTTGAAAGCCTTTTATTATCACCATGGAGTGCTTCAGGACCAGATTTTATTGAAACTTCTGATGTAAAGCAGACAGCATCTGATTTACAAGATGCTTGGGACACTATTCTTCTTGGTTCTTCAGTAGGCGTAGCATCAGCTCAAACTCTTGCTGAATTAAAACCTCTTCCACCTTTTACTGGTTATACTGGACACCTTAGTATTAACGGCATTCCGGGACATCACTATCATGCAATAGCATCCTCAGCTCAACGACCTCATCTACAGTCATCATCACCGTCACCAACTTCAAATCCAGAATACTATGAAGCTCCAGTTGTTTCTTCTAGTACGCCTTGTCCCCAGGTTAATCAAAAGCAACAAAGCCAACATCAACAACAACAGTTATCGCAGTCAACACAACAAGTTGATTACGATATTGAAGATATTGCCCAAATTATTGGATCTGCTATTGCTGATACAACAGTACCTGGAGGAGGTAATGAACCAAACTCTGATCATGACCCTGACGCATCAAGAGATTGGATAGATATTGCAGAATGGATCGATACCGCCTGTTCTCCAAAATCTCACGAGCAAAATTCTCCCAGTCCTTATTCACATATTTACACAACAACAGCATCAAATAATCAAGTTCAGCAACATGGTTCTACTTTACAAAGTTTGTTAACTCATGGATATGCACCACTTCTTCAAGCTAGGCTTCAAGCTGGAAATGTAGGACTTCAAAACACTCCTTGTGGTGAGGCACCTTCTTCAACGAGCCCTTACCCACCTGTCAGTCCTCCAGGAAGAGTATCAACATCTTGTAGTCCAGATCATCTTTTACATTCATCTTTTACAACACCTTCGCATCCCAGAAAAAGATCTCGACCGAATCCTGGTTCTCAAAATCCTTCAAAGAAAAGTTCAGGTTCCACATCTCTTTCTTATGGGACCGAATCAGGTCTTCTTGGTGGAAAGGAGAAACCTGTCCATAGGTGTTCAATATGCAATCGAGGATTTCTTAACAAAAGTAATATTAAAGTTCATTTGAGGACTCATACTGGTGAAAAACCTTTTCGATGTGAGGTTTGTGGTAAAGCTTTTAGACAAAAGGCTCATTTAATCAAACATCAACAAATTCATAAAAGAATTGGTAGGGATTAACACTAAATACCTTTAAAAAATTCTATTGTTAGTGTTATGTGCCTTGTACATATTGGTCATCTTTAAACGTGTGATATGATACGAGAATGGTTGTTAACTTATAAAACAATAAATAATATTTAAGAGGTTTAAACAAATATTAAACTGTTTTTCTAATAATCGTGAGATTAAACATTACAAATACAAAACCATTATACTAAAGCTTTCTTGTATTGTTTTTATAACTATCTTATGATAGTCGATCTCGTGTTAAAAGTTGTTATTTTAAATATGACAATTAAATTGTATCGCATGTTATACATATCTAATAACCGCCTACACATCGTACTGAAGTAAACTAGCTGCGTAAATTGTGCGAACGCCTAATTTTTTATCACTGCAAAAAATTGAGTTAGTTTTAAGTAAATTATAACAAAATATGTTAAATTTAAAAAGTTATTTAAAAAAAAGTTTTTCAATAGATAAGGTTATAGATTGAAAAATTAAAAGCTGATCACCACTTTTTCAAAACTTTTCATTTTTTTGAAAAATAGCATAGTTTTTAAGAATCTTGAAAAACACTGATAATCAAATCTAATCATGTTTTGCATATTATTTCTAAATTATAAGTTGAAAAATAGCAATTTTTTTTAAGATAACATTACAAAAATGCTATTTTTGGGATATTTTATTTTAAAGTAAAAAAATATATTAAAAAAATTCGTATATTTTCCAAATTACATTGAGTAACAATTTTTTAATTGCGCAAAACTATAAGACATGAATGAAAATAAATGTCATACTTTTTTAACAATTTTAATAGCTTTCCATGTCTTAAAGTGATGAATTTTTACTCAATGTAGTTTAGAAAATATATGAATTTCTGCAGTGGTCAGAAAATAGGCATTCTCATAATTCGCCCCGGTGTAGTGTAAAAATAAAAATTATAAGTTAAATTATGATAATAGACAAATAAATTAATACGCAGAAGATACCAGCAAAAATGTTCAACTTAGAAAAGATTAACTATTATCTTAAAAATTAAATATGTAATTGAAAAACCAAAATTTCACACTTCAGTGAATATTGCCTCATACGTTTTCCTTTTGTTAAACCTTTTTCAACACGGATAAAAATCGTCAGATAAGTGGCTTTTTTGCACTACCTGGTGGGAGAAAAATGACATTTTGCGATTTTTGCAAAATACAGTACCGTCCGAAATTGTCAGTCCACCCATTTTCAAAGGAATGACAAAAATTTTTTAACATAAAATTCATGAAAAGTAAAATTTTTTTTGGTTTATATTTTGAAAGACGATAAAATTTTGAAAAGAATAAGACCTTACAGAAGTCATTTGGCCAAAATTTGTAGAAGATATTCTTAAAAATCGTCATTTTCAATGTTTTACAAAAATTTGAATAACTTCTAAAATAATGAACGCTTTTTAATAATCTTAGGCTTATTTTAAAGACCATTTTCTAGAGAATAAGAATTACTTATAGGCATTAACCTGTAATTTTTAACTTGGAATAAGCATGACGTCAAAGTTGGACAAAAAAATTCAAAAAATTTGAAATAATATTATTAAAAGAAAAATAATTTTTGAAATTCAAACATATATTTTTATTAAATTTTCTTGAAAAATCTACACCATATCATGTTTTATATATGTTCTAGAATAGTTTTTAGTACAAAAAATTGATTTCAAATTTTTCCAATTTTTTTGTCTAATTTTGACGTCATGCTTATTCCAAGTTAAAAATGACAGGTTAATGCCTATAAGTAATTCTTATTCCGTAGAAAAAGACCTTTAAAATAATCCTAAGATTATTAAAAAGCGTTCATTATTTTAGAAGTTATTTAAATTTTTGTAAAACATTGAAAATGACGATTTTTAGGAATATCTCCTACAAATTTTGGCCAAATGACTTCTGTAAGGTCTTATTCTTTTCAAAATCTTATCGTCTTTCAAAATATAAACCAAAAAAAATTTTTGTTTTCATGAATTTTATGTTAAAAAATTTTTGTCATTCCTTTAAAAATGGGTGGACTGACAATTGCGGACGGTACTGTACTTTGTTACAAATTTTTGTATTTTTATATTTTTCTTTTATTTATATGTGACCTGGTCTATGAAATAGACCTTACGTGCGAAAACAAGTTTTCGAGAAAACAACAGTTAAAGTTTAACTTAGAAAAACCCTTGTAACTTTTTTAAATATTAATATTTTTTAATCAAGTTAGGCTTATTTTTGTAACCGTGGATCACAGTAGCAAAATAAAAAACATACAAGTAATAAAAATTTTTTTTTAATAATTGTTTATATAAATTATTAACAAACTCCCCAAACACAGAAAAAATAATCTAAGTTTTCTAAATAGCAACAATAAGTATAAATAATTGACTCATGTTTGTAAGGGTTTTCGAGGCCGCTGATTACGAATATGATGTTAAATTGACAATTTGACAGTTGGCAGCTGGCAACTTCTCTAAATAGTGATCGTTTTTTATAAAAAAGAACGTAATAAGGTTTTTGAGGTCGCTACATAATTACGAATATGATATCAAATTTAAATTTTAACTGTTGACAGTTGTCAAAAAAACTGACAAGTTTTCTAAATAATAAAAAATTATCGTCTTCGTTATTTTAATTTGTATAATACCAAAAAAATCAGTTTTTTCGTATCTTTACTTTTGTTTCTTTTAACTTTAAAAAAATTTTTTAAAAACTTCTAATCAACTTATGACTTTTTGGTTTTCACCATCTCAAAGAGCGTTTCAAACTCTATCCGAATCAACAAAAAAGTAAAAAATTTTTTTTTTACACGTAAGGTCCCTTTTCATAGACCAGGTCACATATGACAAATAATTTGTTAATAAATTTAACTTATATTCTAAATGGCTGGTAAAACAGTTCAATAGTTTTACTATAAAACTCAAATGGCTTTTTCCCCCCATTCTACCCTATTATATCTACTTCTCATTTACATTTTCTATTTTTTTCGTTTTAGGAACCTACATTATATTCTTTGCAATGTAGAAATTTCACTATTTAATTCATTTGCAGATAATTCTACACTCTAAATCGGAGACAATTATAGCACAGCATACTTTTCGTATTTTTTATGAAACTTCAATTTTGAATGAATTTAATTAGAAATTTTAAAGAACTTAGATTTTTGAGAAATTGTAATATTTCAAATTCTTTTGAAATTAGTTAAATTTTTTTAATATAAATTTCATTAATTATTCAAAATAATGGATTAATAGAAAAATTTTAGTTAAAAACAATTTAAAAAATTTGCATTTTGGAGAAGTTACAAATGATTGCAAAAATTCAGTTATGTTCTTTATAAATAATAAAATTCTTTTCCAAAAATCAATTACTTTCAAAAAATGTAATAAATTACTTGGCACAATTTTAATTATTTTCAAAAATTTTCCTCAATTTAATGATTTTCAATATCCATTATTTTAATAAAATTTTCCAAAACAATTCAATTATTTAAATCTGATAAAATTCTACCAAAACATTTAATTATTTTCATAAATAATAAAAATATCATAGAAATTAAATTATTTACAATGAATTCAATTATTTTCAAATTTGTTACAAATTTCTTCTTAATAATTCCATTATTTTCATAAACTATGCAATTTTTTACACAGATTAAATTATTTTCGTAAATAATACATTTTTTTAGAAATTCAATTATTTTTATAAATAATAAAACTCATAGCAGAATCTCAATTATTTTTAAATCAATTGAAGAAAAGTAATTATTCTTACAAATTTTATTAAAATTCGTCAAAAGAATTAAATAATTGAAAAATTTATTGATAAAATTCTTCATAAGAATTCAATTTTGAGAGACATTCAATTATTCAATAAATTATTTATTTTTGTATTTAATTCATTATAAAATAAAGAAATAAATCATAAACTATGCAATTTTTTACACAGATTTAATTATTTTCGTAAATAATAAATTCTTTTTTAGAAATTCAATTATTTTTAATTCAATTTTAATCAAATTCCTCGAGAAAAGTAATTATTCTTACAAATTTTATTAAAATTCGTCAAAAGAATTTAATAATTTAAAAATTTATTGATAAAATTCTTCATAAGAATTTAATTTTCAGAGACATTCATTTATTCAATAAATTATTTATTTTTGTATTTAATTGATTGTAAAATAAAGAAATAAATAAATAATTGAATTCTCGTAGAATTTTCTAATAAATATTGATTAAAAAGTGGATTTCAGTTAAAATTTTAGATAATAATTTAACATTAAAAGCATTACATCGTAAATAAAAATAATTTAATTTTGAAAAGGTTTTAAATTAAAATTTTTGAAAATCTGAATTTTTCATATGTTTTGACTAACAATTCTGCAAAATTGAATTGTAAACAAATTGATTTGAAAGTTATTAAAAATAATTGATTTAAAGAAAAATTTTAGTTAAAAATTCTAAAAAATAATAATTGAATTAAATTGATGAAAATAATTTTTAAGAAGTTACAGTAATAATATTTTTTTATAATATAAAATAATGATTTTATCACTCAGTCATGTTTAATTATTATAAAATACGAAGAAATCTTCATGTTTAATAATAATATTCTTAAAATTTAGTCAATTTTACAAGGTTTGAATTTGAATGTTTTAAAGAATTTTAATTCATACAGAAAAATAATAATTATTAAATATTCATTTAAAAAAGAAGTTATTGTTATTTTCGAAATAATTTTACAATTAGAGAAATTCGTAAATAAATGTAATAGAACATTTTTTTAAGTATCTAATAATTTTTAGAATGAATCAGAATATTCTTTAGGTTCAGGGAAAAAGACAAAATTTTGTCTCGAAATCAGGGATAAGTCAGGGAAATACAAAATTAAATTTTTGTAGCAATCCTGAATCAGATTAGCCAGATTTCCAGTCATAATAACCGCAGTTTTGAAAAAATTAAAAACTTGGCTATGATTGTATATAAATTAATTTAATTTTTCTTTTTATTAGCTATGTAATATAATATTCGTCTGTTTAAAAAATTTGACATGATGGATATTTTCAAATCTTATTTCACCTAAAGACTAACATTTTACTAGCTAGGTTATGTGATTGTGAAATGTGTCCTAATTTTCTTAAATTGTTTAAGTAATTCACACATTATTCGTGTCATTACCAAAAATTTTTGGTTTTAAAAAATTGTTAAACAATTTTTAAACAATTTGTAATAAACAAATTAAAGAACTTTTACCGAACCCTGCTATTTATATTTACATTTTTAAACGAAATTTCTTCTTAATGCCTTAAAAATATTTTATAAAAAAATCGTCTGAGTCTTCCAAATTTACATAGCACTTATCACGTGACCCAACAGTTACATCCCTTATAGCACACTATTTGAGCTTAATATTCTGACCTTGCCTGACAACGTTATCAAATATTATAATTATTATATTATAAATGTACAATAATATATATTATATAATTATTATAATATTTTCATATATTATATGTGAAATTATTGTAATATTACATTACCGTGGAATATTCCCACATGTTGCCTTAACATTGCCGGGCAATGTTTGTAATATTGTCATGCAATATTGACCCAATATTGTGCTCAAATGTTGTTCTATTCGCGATGCTGTTGAACCATTTTTCGGTTCACTTTAATTAAAACTGAAGTAATAATGAAATGTAATTTGTAACCGAATTCAAAAGAGAATTCGATGAGCTTTATTATCAGTAAGTGGAAAATTAAATAAAAATTATAAAACTCATTAAATATAATTTGACAAAATTCAAATAAGTATAAATTGTTATGAAATTATTTATCTCTATTTTTTATAAATATAATAAGGAGACAATACAGAAAGTTTAATTTTAGATTTTCAAAGGTATTAATTATTTTATTTGTATCCTTCACTGGATTAAAATTTCCCATGATAATTATTATGTAATATACTTTCTCAAATTTTAAATTAAGAAAAGCTGGCGGAATACTATATGGTTCCGTATACTTTATCTGTAGTATGTATTTATTTATTTATCTACAATTATATTTTTGTATAAAAATATGTGAGATGTGATCATGTATGTATTTGTGTGATGATGTACCTATGCCTGTAGTTAAGATTTAATTTATTTTTAATCCATATTTTATAAAGTTATTTTATAATATATTTCCGTCCTTTAATTTCTCTTCTTTACTATTTATTTTCATGTTTTCCTACCTCTAAA